CATTGAATGTATTTTCCCATTCTTTCCTTGCTCACATTGTTTCTGATGAAAGGTCTGCTGTTAACCTGATGCGATATCCTTTGTAGGTAACTTGTCATTTCTCTCCTGCCAGTCTGAGTATCTTGTCTTTGTTTGTGGTTTTGGTCAATCTGGCTACAGTGTGTCTTGGAGAAAACCTTCTTGGATTGATTCTATTTGGGGTCCTATAGAAATCTGGGGGCTTGTTGACAGTAACTCCTATTAACCTATGTATTGGGTTGTCAGAAAAGTCATGACATATTTATCTATGTTTTTCTATTCAAAAATGTGTCATGACTTTTCCAACAATTCAACAGTAAAGATCTCTGGAGATTTAAGTCACTACCATGAATCATCATCTTATCTGTTACAACATAACTTGACAAAATCTTCATAGTTACATTCAGTAATGTTCTTAACTTCTCTTGATGAAATTCCTTTGCTTTGCTCTTATCAATGCTGTTTTACTTACTTCTGCTATACCTATGATTACATTCTAACAGGTTATATGCTACTTTTTATATACATTGCTACACATATCTGGAAAAATGGCTAAGTTTTTATTCTGCATTATTTTGTTAGAATTGTATGATTTCTAATATTTTGATATTCTTCAATGAAGATCTTGTAAACAATTGCTCTACACTCAAAACAGCATTAAAAACAATATGATCAAAAAAAGGACTGTATGGGACCAGCAGTTAGCGTAATGGCTATGTCGCTGGACTCCCACGTAGTCGACCGCGGTTCGTGTCTCGGACCCGGCGGCTTAAACTCATTATGTTTAGGAGAGTTCAACTATGTCACACACTTAAGCTGCTTATAATAAAAAAAATCTAAGAAAAAATAATCTCTTAAAATAAGAGAGAAAAATAGATGTGTAGAATAATTCGAGTAAATAGACTAATTTGGGTTGCCTTTATTTGGGGAGAATATTGGCAGAAGAACTAAACTACATATACATTAAGGAGATGACTAACCTAGGAATAGTCAGGCAGATCATGGCCACTCATACAAAGCCTGTGTGCAGAAAAGAGCTAACACAGCCAGCCTGCGACTGCTATTCTTATAATAAGGTTGGTCACTGGCTGGCACCTGGGAGCTTCGGTTTCCAGATGGTTCCCATCACTCCCTGATATGTGGCTCACTGACTAACCTGTTTGTGGAAACATTATGGTTTCTGATAAACACCTGCTTTCCTTCTAGGACTTGAGTATTTCGGTGTGTGCCAGGTAGAAGGTGCTTATGTGGTGAGCTCTAATAATCTACCTTGGTAGGCAACACTTCATACATGTGGCATTTGTGTTACTTGAGGAATTATCCTTGTCTTATGTGACTTCAGAGAGAAGACTTTTGGAATCTTGCCTGATTTTCTCTCCACGTACCTCTTCCTTTGATGAGTTGGCTTTGCATTCTTTCACTGTACTAACTGAGAGCCATAAATACAACTGTGTTCTGCACCCTGTGAATCTTTCTAATGCATCACCAAACCTGAGGGCCATCTTGAGGCTCTGACACAACTCTGTACACAGCCAGTGGATGTCTACCAGGCCAAGCAGCACACAAAGCAATATAGAATGTGTACCATTCCATTTCTAAAACAAAAATATTCCCACTGAACATTTCTGTATCTGCTTATGTACAAATGAAAACATTTGACAACTCACCAGGTCAATTGTTTTGGCTCTATGTTCGGACTCATCATCACACCAAGTTTCACACCATAACCAGTCTTGAGGAAGAGACTTAATGGCAACTTGGTAAATCATATCATTCGGAAGATCCTACAAAGAGAAATGATATACAAAAGAGTCAGAGGGAAGAAGCTGAAGCAAGTCATCTAGATTGTAAATCAACACACATACACAAACATGCAAATCTGAGATACTGCTGTATTTTTAAACATTATTTTATTTAACTTTATTTATTCATTCACTTATTTATTTCAATTTGACCAGAGAGGGACAGAGAGAGAGGGAGAGAGGGAGAGAGAGAGAGAGAGTGAGTGAGAGCGAGCGCGCGCGAGCGCGCACGTGCACAAGCCGCCAGGTCCAGGACTCAAACCGCAGTCAGCCGTGTGGGAGTCCAGCACCCTTAGCCACCAAGACACCTGCCAGCCCCAAGATACTGCTGTAAAGTTTTAAATATCTAATCTATTTGATCGCTTTGTGTCATGAGTGAAACTATGCCAGAACCTCCCTGAGTCTTCACTTCTAACACTAAGGATAAAGAGGGAGGCCCAAAGAGCCACCACTCTATTCCGCCCAGTGGATAGCCTCCCTGTCTCCATCTGCCTTGAAATACTGGGATTAATGGCTCACAGTGTCTGTTACTACTGTTCATGCTAGTCACCATCCCACTCTCCAGATTCTGGGTGACCTTTCATTTCCCTGCTGGAAACAATCCCCCATATGTTCACATTTCTGCATTCTCAGGACTCTCTAAGCAAAGACTGATGTCACCTGTGTTAAAGAATGCTGATAGGTGTATAAGACTAGTAATTTCTTGAGATCTCTCAAGAAATTTAAAGACATCTTTCACAGTTATTTATTTATATTTCAGGGGTTTGTAAAGCACTTCCTTTCCTCTCCACAGAGATGATTTGTTTACAGATCAAAGAGCATGTTTCTTCTCTCTCTCAGAGAGCATGGAGGATACTTTTGTTAGCTGTCCTATATAAGCTTCAAGATTCATAATTTTAGGCTTTCTCTCTCAACATTCCTATTAAATATCACACTGAAAGTCCTAGATAATGCAATAAGGTAAGAAAAGGAAATAAAAAGCATAGAGTTCGGAAAGAAGAAATAAAACTGTCATTTGTAGGTAATGCAGAAAATATCAATAATTAGTTTTATTTAAAAAAACCCTCCTGAAAATAATAAGGAATTATAGCAAAGTTAGAAGATATGAAGTTGACATAAAAAGTCAATTGGTGGACTGGCTGGTGGCATGGTGGTTAAAGGTGCTGGATTCCCACATGGCCTACTGTGGTTTGAGTCTTGGATCTGGTGACTTGCTTTCTTCCTTTCTCTTTCTCTATGTCTCTTTCTGGTCAAATTAAAAAATAATAACAACATATGGAAATAAATAAATAATTCCTTAAAAAGAAAAGTCAATTGCTTTTCTAAATGTCAGCAATGAGCAATAGAAATCTGAAAAAAACCCACACCGTTTACATTAGCTTCCTCAAAAGAAAAATACTTAAGTGAAAATCTAAAAATATTTTCTTCTATATGAGAAAAACCACCAAATTATGATTTTAAAAAGGGATCAAAATAAATGAAAAGATATTCTATATTCATGGATAGGAAGAATCATTACTGTCAAGATACCTGTTCTTCCAAGCTTGAACTATAGATTCATCATAATCTCAAAGTTCCAAGAAGTCATTTTGTAGATAACTACTAATTGATTCTAAAGTTTATATGGAAAAGGAGGAGACCCAGAACAGTCAACAAGATATTGATGAATAAAGTAAGTGAACTGGTTTTACCAGACTTGAAGTTTTGTTATAAAAGCTATAGTAATCAGCACAGTATTGGTATGGGTCAAAGAACAAACAGATCAATGGGAAAAAAAAATACTGAACCCAGAAGTATGGATGTTCTCTGTACTTTCTGCTTATTTTTTTTCCCTGTTCTTATAATATTGCTGAAAAAAAAAAGCTTTCAATATTAACTTAAAAAAGGATTAAAAGCTTAACTGTTATTCTGACACCCTTAGTTCCTTGGACTCTCTTTGTTAAATCACCTTCTATATTATCTAATAAATGTTTACTTATTTATTCCATGAACGAGAAACAGTGAGGGTCACACACCATCTCCAAATGAGTCTTGATGCTGTGATCCATTCCTAGTTCTCAGTCAGCCCTGGATCATGGGCAAGTTTATGCTTGGTGTACTGAAGGAGGTCTCAAGACTTTGAACCAGGGATCTTCCTACATCAGATCGAGTTGCAGAGCAGCATTTTACAGCTGTGCCATTGTCTGGCTCCAGTCTATCACCTTATCTCAATCATTCGCTCTCAAAGCTATATCCTAGACCAAAGTTTTCTATAATATCAATTTTATGGTTCCATTCTGAAAACCCTCTTGATTTTCAGCTCACTCCACTGAGTACTCAGGTATCAGTATTCTTTGACTCCATGAGATCTCCAGTCAATTGATCCTAGCACTATCAGCATCCCTCCTCTTTGATTTTTTTTTCTCTTCCTTATAAATATTCCCTTCAATGTACTGTTAATTGTCATATTCTTCTTTTGCTTTTACTTTCTCTTATAAAGCACTTCCCTTCCTCCCCACAGAGGAAAAAGTTTCTTGGCAAAGAAACTTTATTTATTTCAAATAAATCTAAGTCTCTTCATTTGTACCCATGTAACTCAACATAGTTGGTGAAACACATACACAAACTCACATACCCCACAGTGTTTCATTTTAACTTCATAACCATTAATCTTAACAGACTTAATTCTGTCAAACATTTCTATACATAGGTCTATTTTACTTTGTTTAGTTTAGTTTAGTTTAGTTTACATAGGGTGCATGTGCTTTCTGGAGAGAAACAGAGATGAAAAGTGAGAAATTACCCCCTGGAGGGATGGTCATGCCAAATCCCTTTTCCTTTCAGGCTTTGGTCAGGCATACCCATACCCAGTGTGATTTTCAAGCCACCAGTCTAGAATTGCAACAGTGACCGGCCATGTTGAAATCCAGCACCTTAACCACCATGCCACCTGGTGGCTCTATATAGATCTATTCTGTTCTCACATTTTTAGCTGCTTATTTGACAAACTCTCCTCTTATACCTTTACCAACCACTCTGTAACCAATAGTCTACTTTTTGTCTCTATGGGTTTGTCTAGTTTGGACATATATATATAAATAAAATAGTATGTTTTAAGATATTTTGTGTTTGGCTTCTTTCACTTAGCATATTTTCAAAGGGACATCCATGTTGTAAAATATACTCGTATTTCAATCTTTTTATAGCTTAATATTCTATTGTATGGATATATAACATTTTGTTCATTCATTCAGCAACTGATGGGCATTTGGTTTGTTTCCTTTTTCTGGCTATTATGAATAATGCTGCTAAAAATATTTGTGTACAGTTCTCTTGGTTATATTTGTAGGAATGGAATTGCTGGGTCATATGTTAACTCCATCTTCAACTTCTTGAGGATCTCCAGAGCTGTTTTCCAAATTGACTACACTATTTTATATTCCAAAAAGGAGTATACAGTATTTTTGATTAGTCTATCCTCACCTACTCTTGTTACTGTTCATCATTTTTTAAAATAGTCATCCCTTGGGGACCAGCAGGTGGCGTGGTGGTTAAGGCACTGGACACTCCCACATGGCTGACCATGGTTTGAATCCAGGACCTGGCAACTTACTTTCTCATTTTCCATTTACCTCTCTCTGTGTCTCTCTCTCTGGTCAAATTAAAAAAAAAAAAAAAGTAAATAAATGAATGTATGAATAAAATTAAATAATTCTAAAAAAATAAGCCATCTCCGAGGGTATGAAGTGGTATCACATTGTGACTTTGAATTGTAGTTTCATATAACCAGTGACAATGAGCATCTTTTCATGTATTTATTAATCATTTGTACATATTTGCGATATTAAAATAATTTCATGGAAAATGTGTACTACACCAAAGCTACAATAGTCTTTACTTTTTTCCCCCACAGCAACATAAACTAGTACTTTGATTCACACACTTTTTGAAGTTCCCTTGTATTTTTTGTTTAAAAAAATGTCTTAAGTCTTTTGATAACTTATTTTTTTGTTTTGTTTTTCAGACGGAGTCTTGCTATGTTGCAACTCTCCTACCTCAGCCTCCCGAACAGTTGAGATTACAGGCACACGCCACAGTGCCTGGATCTTAGGGTAGGCTGAGATTTAAATTAGGGTCTCATATGTGACCCTCACTGGTAGAGTAGTGGTGGCTACCAGTGCATGCCACTGTAGCTAGGTCTTGATCACTTTTTAAATTGGTTGCCTTTTTGTTACGGAGTTGTAAAAGTTCTTAATATATTCTAGATTCTAGTCTTTTGTTAGAATATCATGTGCAAGTATTTTCTCTCATTCTGTGTATTGTCTTTTCATTTTCTCGATCATGTCATTTAATACATAAAAGTTTTTAATTTGATTTCTAATTTATCTATTTTTTGTGCTTATACTTTTGGTTTCATATCTAGGAAACCATTGCCTAGTTAAAAGTCACAAAGATTTACACCTACATTTTCTCTCAGACTTTTAAACTTTTAGTTATTACATTTAGGTCTTTGGCCCATTTTGAGATATACAAATTAAATTTTTATATACAAGCAGGAAAGTCTTCAAAAAGTTCATAGAAAAGGTGAATCATGAGGACCAGCAGATGGTTTAATGGTTACATCACTAGACTCCCACATAGCCAACTACAGTTCAAGTTCCAGACCTGGTGGCTTAAAATGCATGCTGGGTGCATGTGCATGCATGCCCCATATCCCCAGAAGAGAATGGAGGAGAAGGTGTTGTGGCATAGCCATCCCTCCAGGGGGTGATTTCTCACTTTCTGTCTCTCTTACTCTCTCTGGTGAGTAGATGTGCCCTACAGCAAAAAATCTTTGGCGATATGAGGTAGGTAGGTAGGTATGTGTGTATGTACTTACATTTTTGCTATAGGATATGTGTGCTCACCAGAGATAAGTTAGTGGCGGAGGGGGTTATAGTGAGAAAGTATCCCCTGCGGGGATGATAATACCCTAATTCCTTCTCCATTCTCTTCTTGGGAATTTGGGAACATATGCACATACATGAATCTGGTGTGCTTGTCCAGTTACCAAGTCCAGGACTCAAACTGCATAGCTATGTGGAATCCAGATACCTTACCACTGTACCACATGTCTGGCCCAATACAAGGTCTTTTATGATTCCAGACAAATATTAAGATTGTTTTTCTATTTCTGTGAAGAATATGTCTGGTAATTTTATCAGAATTGCAATGAATTTTCAAATCAATTGAGAACTGACCTTTTAATCATATTAATTCTTCCAATCCAAGATCATGAGATATCCTTCCACTTTTATGTATAATGTCCAACTTCTTTTTTCATTCTTCACAGTTTCCCTTTTAGAGGTCTTTCGCCTCTTTGGTTAGGTTATTACTAAATATTTTATTATTTATTTATTTTTGTTGGCTATTGTAAATGGGATTGCTTTCTTCAATTCTCCCTCAGTCTGTTCATTGCTGGTGTATAAAAATGCTGTAGACTTTTGCATATTGATTTTTTAAAAAAAATTTATTTATTCATTAATTTATTTTAATTTGACCAGAGGGAGACAGAGAGAGGAGAGAAAGTGGGAAAGCAAACTACCAGGTCCAGGACTTGAACCATGGTCGGCCATGTGGGAGTGTCCAGCACCTTAACCACCATGCCACCTGCTGGTCCCTGCATATTGATTTTGTATCCTGCAACTTTACAGATTTTTATCATTACTTATTTTTATCACTTCTAGGAATTTTCTTTATGGATTCTTCACAGAAACCTGAATGAACAACTTTTATGCCTCCATCTGAACTTCATTCAAATATCATCTTTGCAGTTCCTCAATTTATAAGTGGAAATCCCAACCCCTACTTATCATTCTGAAGTCCATCATGCTTTCCTATCTCATTTTTTTTTCTTAAAATGCTCATTACTTTCAAATATTATTTATTTTATATTCCTACCAAAATGAAAGTTATTATGACTAAAGGATTCTTGATTCTGCTTTTGGATAGCTCAGATCTTAGGAGACTATCTAGTACACAGAAAGAAGTCAACATTTACTTGCTAAATGAATAAATGTGTATGGTTTTCATAAGAATAAGGAGAAATAGCAGGAATTATGAACTATTAGGGTCTTTTGCCTGTTCACAGTATCTAAAATGTTTTTCATGCAATAATGAGGATATTAATGGAATATGAGGCAAAAGTTATTTGTCTGTGAAGAGAAAGAAAATGTAATCTGGAGGTAGGAGAGCCAGAATGAAGAGAGTCTGTCTTAAAGATAAGAGAGAAAGGGGAGATTTGAGCATGTTTAAAGGATGGACTTGAATAAAATACAAGGAAACTGAATGACATAGGGCACAGAGCAGTAAGAGGTTTAATAGGAAATTGAGAATAAAGTACTATTGGCTTTGAAAATGTTAAGCTTGAAGGGTAAAAATTATAAAGTAGAGATATCCAATAGAGAACTAGGTAAAGAACAGGAGTTTGAGAAAGAGGCTGAAAATATACAATTCTGAAGTTTACAAGGAGGGAGTTGAAGCATTCTATGGACATGTACAGAAAATTATACTATTGACATTTTACTTACCTGATCTAGGTTTGAAAGACTGTTTGGATCTTTACTGAGAGCCTGGTACTGGCCCCTGAGCCTGTCACCTGCTGCAATTCTCCTGAACTTCTTGAGATCCACTACGTATAAGGCACTGCAAAAATGAACACTCCTTGATGGCCTGTGTTGTTTACGTAGTTTTACCTTTCCCCAGTGAATGTCTACAGTGATGGTATTAACTATAAATATTCTAGGGTCTAACTGATTAATTGTCGCATACATTTGCTTCCAATGTCTAATACTGTTTTGAAGGACTTTGAAGTCTGTTATAATTCTGATAAGATCCATATTTTTTAGGGTCACATCAAATTTTTCCAAGTTGTCTTGGAACTCATGCTCCTACAAGGGAGTAACAACTTTGAAGATGGTATCTTCATTTTGTTATTTGATAAATCACGTTTAAATCTTCTGCAGTAGTTCAGAGAACATGCCCCAGCCACATTACTTGTGTTTAACTCTCGGTTCTGCTCTGTTATGTTCTAACAGGGTAAGAAGCCTGGCAAGTTACATAAATGCTGCATGCTCAGGTTCCACATCTACTGAATGGAGATCATAATAACCATATCGAAAAATGCTGTCACAAAGGTTTTATGAGTTGATATAAGTAAAGGTTAATAAAGGTTACTGACCTGTAATAAGACAGTCCATGTATCTATATACTTGGTTGTCATTACTCTCTAATTTCTAAGAAAACTAAATGTTGTGACTCAATACATTCTGTATTTACTAAAAGGGGTAAGAGTATGAATATTCTTACCTTATATGATATTTCCTTCTTAAAAGATGTGATGCCCAGTATCCTGTTTTCCAGAAATGATACCCATCCATTTCAGTGCGGCTATCACAAAACGGAGTATACCCATAGGGAGCTCCTTCCAGGTCAAAAGCTCAAAGTTCTTTTAAGTCATGTCTCACAATCTAAATAATTAAAATAGTGTCTCTGTTAAAGACTATAAAATAACATAAGCACTTTTTTATGGAAATTTGAAATCCTTATGACCCTATCTAAGAGACAGCACGACTTCATTCTCCTCAGTGCTTTCATGTAAATTTACTAAATTTTATTTTTTTCCTTACCTTTATAGATTAAAAGAAACCTAAAAATTTATAGTCCTGGTCTATATAATGGTGATCTTGCTTACCAGTAAGACTACTTTATTATAGCATTTCTAAGCAAAATATTTTATAAAATGTACATTTTGGGAAGGGGTTAAATATTACACAAATCAACAGTTCTTAGTTTCAAAATATATAAATAATTTCAAATCATTTTCATGTTAAACATCCATTATTGTACATGAAGGATTCTTCAAAAGGTTCATGAAAAATGCATCTTACAAAAAACATACACATGAATTTCAACTATTTTGCACCCAAATGAACTTATACTTTAATTCCATTTTTGCCACAAACTTTTAAGTTCCCTTATATGGGCAAATACTAGTTTGAGTCATAAAGAAAAAATTCTGATTATTCTAAATAACTTTAATGAAATACTAGTGTTTTATTTCTTATATATTTTTTGCTCAAGGATGTATGAACTCACCAGAGAGAGAAAGGCAGAGATGGGGAGAAGCATTCCCCCATGGGGAATGCTCATGTGGTGCTCCTTTCTTCTCCACGTCTCCCTTGTGGAATTTTGGACACATACCCGTGTCTGTTGTGTTTCTCAAGCTGCCAAATCTGGGACTTGAACCTTGCAACTGGCTATCTGGGATCCAGCTGCCTTAACCACAAGGCAGGACTGCTTTAACAACAAGGCTACACAGCTGCCCAGTATGCTTTATTTTTTAATAGACTAAGTCTGTTATAAAGTGTTAGTGTATATAATGGGCATGGTAGGAAAAGGAATATTAGAAATTATGCTTAAAAATGCTTTTTTCATCAATTATATTTATCTGTTTAGTTTTTTACTATAATGGCTCAAATTTATCAATTTGGAAAATAGCACAAAAATAACAGATTTAGAATATAAGTACATTCTTTTTTTTTTAATTTTTGGAGACGTTTTTGCTATAGGGTACGTGTGCTCGTCAGATAGAGAGAGACAGAGAGACAGAAAGCGAGAAATCACCCCCCAGGGGGATGGCCACACCGCAATCCCTTTTTCTCCATTCTCCTCTCGGGATCTTGGGCACACACGCACACGCACCCGGCATGAGTTTAAGTCACCAGGTCCGGGACTCAAACCGCAGTCAACTACATGGGAGTCCAGCGACATAGCCATTACGCTAACTGCTGGTTCCTAGAATACAAGTACATTCTAATATGGGACTTGAAAATACATGTTTTGCCCTAAGCATATGAATTCTAATTTATATATTTAATTTGTAACACATATATATTTACATATTACTGTTCTTAGAAATTTCGTGTATTTTTCAAAAACATTCTCATAATTATTACAAATGCAATGCAAAGAGGGAAGGAAAATGTCATAATTTTTGAAAGCATACATTTTTGGTAGGGTGTGTATGTGTGTGTGTGTGTGTGTGTGGGTTTTTATAGGGGGGCTTTCTCTCTGTCTCACTCAATCTTCCTGCCCCAGTTTCCCAAGAAGCTGGGACTACAAGTGCGCACCACCACACTCAGCTTTTAGGGTGGGCCAGGGATTGAACCTGGGCCTCCCACAAAGCCTTAGTATGCCAAGAAACAGCATGCACAAATATGGCTGGTCCTGGACAAAGAGTTGTTTTCATTTGTGTGTTTTAAGAGAGATTTTTGCTATAGGGTGTGTGCTCTTGCTGGAGAGACAGAGACAGAGAGAGAGAGAGAGACAGAAAGCAAGAAATCACCCCTAGAGGGGATGGCCATGCCACAACTCCTTCTCCTCCATTCTTCTCTTGGGGTCTTGGGCACACACATCCACACGCCTGGTGTGAGTTTGGGCCAACTGGTCTAGAAGTTGAACCATGGTTGGCCATGAGGGATTCCAGCAACGTAACCATTACACCATCTGCTCGTCTCTGGACAAAGAGATTTTGAAGACTGAGAATCTTAATTTTTTATTTTTGCCAAATTTAGAACATTCTTTTCTTTAAGTGATAGAGGGATAAGGACTAGGTTATTCATTAATTTACAAAGAATGCTTTAGATTATAGAAGATTGAAGGGAAAGCTGGGTATAATTGTTAACTTTTATAGCAAGAAGAAATAACTAACTTTAAAGAAATATGGGCTTGCCTTTATATAGAGTCATGTAGCTACTCTTCTTATAACTAAAATAAAAATCCAGTATTTTATAGAGAGGAAACTGCCATGTCCCAAAAAGTAAATAGTACTTCTTAAAATATCTGGAATTTTCCCATGAAATCTTGAGTATTTTTAAAGGTACTCTGCTCATATATTACAATCATGTCTTTAAATCTTCATATGGCATGACAACAAAGATAATAAACATGAGCAACGTAAATGAAATCCTTACATTCAGTTAGAAGCATAAAAAAAGATGAGTACTGCTAAAAACAAAGTTAATCTTATTACCTGGTCAGCATCAACAAAAATGATTTTGTCCACTGCTAGTGGAAAAAGGACATCAAGGAAAAGAATTTTGTAACCCCAAATAATCCTTTGCTTTTCAGTCTGCTGATGAAGCCAACGGGGCCACCTATATTGGACTAGTTCATATTGAAATCCATATTCCTTAGCCATGTGAGGAATTACTTCCTAAAAATACATGGATACACAGAATCAAACAATATGTTCAAGGAAAAGAAACCAGTTTTACTTAAGAGGGAAAAAAATTAACATTTTAAAAGGCATATCTTATTAGAAATTGTTATAAACTATTTGTTAAAGTATGTAAAAATAACTACTTATTAATGAGATAAAAATACTGACATGAAAATACAAGTATATATAAAACTATATAATTTAATTAAAAACTAAGTACAGTATATTAACTGGCAAATTTATGAACTAAGGTAGCTCTTTCCATACTCTTACTACTAATGTAATGTTTTTTTTTTTTTTTTTTTGACTTTAAAAAATTTGAATACAAAGAAAGCCTCTAGATCTTGGAAAACCTAACTGTTGAATAGTTTTACATACAGAAGAACATATTGGTTGGCCAGAAAGATGCAAAGATGAAAGCACACAAAATGAGTTGTAAATTGAAAAAATTAGAAGTTTTTTTAAAAGTTATTTTATTTAAATTAATTTTTTAATTTATTTTAATTTGACCAGAAAAGGGCAGAGCGAGCAAGAAAGAAAGAGAGAGAGAGAGAGAGAGAAAGAGAGAGAGAGAGAGAGAGAGAGAGAAAGACATTAGGTCCAGACTCTAACTGTGGCTGGGCCGTACTATTTCAGGTAAGGTATGACTATAGGCCATACTGTGGAACACGGCATTCTTATCTTGACATAGCACTATTTTTCCTGTGAATAATATCATTTCCCTGCTAAGAGAATCTTCAGACAGTATTATCTCAATTTATGGAGACTGTTTGGCTACTAGGATAACATGTTAAAGATTTAGTCAAAAATAGTAGTATAATTTCCTGTCTATATTTATTGTTATTTTTTCACTGTTTTGTCCAAATGAGCACAGGAGGCTCTGCTGTCAGTGAAGGGCAGATGGGCTGTTACATGAAGGTTAAGCACCTGGATTTGAGAGGAGAATGTTTGGGCATGAATCTCAGACACGCTCCTAATTAGCTGGTTTATCTCAGGTCTGTGCTATAAGGGATAAATTCTGTTCAAAGAAAGATGTGGCCCTTTCTCCTGGCTCCTCTACCCTTAAAAATGTCCTACTTGATAAGAATGCCTTTGTTTACCTGGGGACCACAGGCCATGACAGATACTCTATGCTGACAATGTGTATATAATGCCATGAGCCACAAGGCACCAATACAACCTCTGGAGGGCATAGAGGCTAAGGTCAGTCACACAGGATGTCAGTCAGGTCTATACAGCCGACTCCTAGAAAAATCTGGACAGCAAAGTTTAAATGCGCCTTCCTGGTAGAATCAATGCCCCATGAGAACCATCAGACACTGCTGCTGAGAGAGAGTAGTGCTGCCTGTAGTCTCCACGGGAGGGAAGACAGCTGGAGAGTCCGCATCTGGTCTCTCCTGCACCTTACTCCCCAGGCCTGGTTTCTGATTTTATATGTATCCTTTTGCTGCAATAAACTGTAACTGTGAATAGAACCGCTTTCCTGAGATCTGTAAGTCCTTCTAGTAAGTTATTTAACTTAAAGGTGGTCTTAGGTACCAGTCAATTACAGGCCAGTTATGAATTTCTGAGTCTTGTTTTTTTTTTTTTTTTAAATCATTTAGGACAATTAAATAATGTTGGTAAATCACTTAGCAACAGGCCTTGAAATATTAAGGAATAAAAGCATGATTGGCTATTTTTACATCTGCTTTTGGTCTAGATAAAGAGGATTCCTTTGATCTGCTTCTGAATGAGACCCTATGATGGAATCTGATTACTTCACAGTGACATGAGGAAGCAACAACACAATTTATAGCAGGAGTGGGGGTTGAGTAATGGATAACAGATGTTGGCCACCTGAAATTTCTAAATGTAAACTGTCTCAGACCACAGCGCCCCAATCCCAGAGCCACCAATGCTGCAAAAGACAAAAAAGCTCTGCTGTTCTCAGAACTGTAAAACTATTTTCTTGCTACAATTTTCATATTTTCTTTATACTACTACTGTTCCTGCCTATCTCTGTAAAAGTGTGACAGAATCCAGTTATTTTAACTGAAAATCTGTATGTATGTACTATTGCCAAATTTTACTTAATTCTTCATCATCGTGAAAAACCACTAATCATTTTTATTTTTATTTAAAAATATACCATCTTCTAAGTATCTCTTTAAATAAAATTTTTCTTAAGCTAGATTAAAAATACCCAAGTTTAAAATTTATTGAAAAAAGTTATTTCTACAAATATATATTTCAAAAGGATCATTCTGAGAAGAGAAATGCTACGTGAACTTACAATGATACAAAGACTTCAGTATTCTAACATGGACCACTCTTTGAAAAGAGTAATATACTTACTTTAAATGTTGGAGAGAGAGAGTTTTTTTAGAAACCAGAATTTCACTGGTGTTTTTGTGTTACATAAAACAGAAAGCATCATAATTCTGTGTAAAAGAACATTAGACATTAGCTCTCTTACTGTGTGATTCACCGTGGGTCTGCAAAGCTTTGAGAGTCGAATGATCTGTCTATACTGATAAATTTACTGAAGCAATTTCATTTGCTTTGCTATCCTATATTTCTAAATAGAAAAGATCTAAAGTTCCACTTTAAAATACCAACATTGCAATTCAAATATTTTTTGGAGCATCCTCTATAACCCTTCTACATAAACTGCTAAAAAATATCTCTCTGAACTTTGTAAATATGCTCTCCTCCTCTGATTACCCTTCTTCCCTTTTATAAAACAAGGTATTTCTTCACTGGAAAACAAAAATCTACTATGTATCTATTTTTCTTACCCATCTCCTTGTTACAAAATATGTCTATTTTCTAGCCTTAAAGAAAAACCAGTAACCCACATCAAATCAAACTAATGAAATTTCACTATATTTAAATAATATACTTTCTTCATAATTGTAAGTAAAAATTAAAAAGCAAGGTTAATATCAGTATATACTTTGTTACTATTTGGATAAAAGGGACTAAAAAATAAAAAATATTTATTTGCTGATATACGCAGTGTATCTTTGGCAGGATGTAAAATACTACTACAGTTTTCCTGTGGGAAAGTGAACAAATGGATTGAGTACCAGGGAAAG